GCCGCCGTTAACTCTCGCCGGGCTGCGGAGCACCCGCCCGCTGCGGCCGCTGGTGGCCGCCCGGACACGGCTCTCGGGGCTCCGCGCGGCGCACGGAGCGGTGAGACCCCCGCGGGGGCGGGTACTAGGGGTCTTGAGACCCCGCAGGGGTCAGCACAGGGGAATCTGAGACCCCACAAAGGCCCGCACGGGGGATGCTGAGACCCCGCGGGGGTCTCACGCCCGCACGGCGGGGTGTTGAGACCCCACAAGGACCGGCACAGGGGATGCTCAGACCCCACAAAGGGCAACGGGGATGTGCAGCCCCCGCCGTTCCTCCTCAGGCTCTGCTGTGACCAGCGGGGTCGCGTCCCCCAGGGCTTGGGGGGTCTGCTCAGTCCTGCCTTGATCGAGTTGTAGATTTCATTCCACACCAAACAATGTTATTGTTTTCTTTTAATTTGTCCGTGGTTTTGATCTGGTTTTACATAGGATCCTGTTTTAATTTTTGTAGCAGAACACAAGCATTTGTGTATATTTAACCTGTAAAATACAGCAATTCTCATGTTACATGTTTAAAACACCCCAGAAATGTGCCTGGGGGTGGCCGGGAGGTGCCTCTCCCTGGGGGCTGGCACCAGCAGGACTGCGGTCCATGGCAGGGCTGGGGAAGGTGACAGAGCTCCCCTTCAGCTGATGCAAAGGTATTTTGAACAAGATCCTTGTTCAAAAAAATGGAGTTTACGTGGATTTAATTTTATTTTTAAAAAGGTGATAGATAACCGCACACCCAGTCTGCTCTAACCTCTTGTCTTTGGGAATTTAAATAAACTTGGCATGGATGTAATAAAGACACGAGACCCTCCGAGGTCAGCTGAGAGCAGGGATAACTCTGGGTCTTAGTGCACACTCTGAGACAAAAGGAACAGGGATATTCCTCTTCCTGCCTTTACTCAAACCATCCATCCATCCATCCATCCATCCATCCATCCATCCCTGTATCTGGAGTCAGCAGTTGATTTTGCAGCACAGGTGGAGACAGCAGTGCTCCATCCCAGCATTACACCGTAATTAATGTTCTCTGAACGACCTTGAGAGAGGTAAACGGGAGTATTGACTTGTCTAAACGTGGAAAGAAAACAGCTCTAATGAAACAATAATAAAAATACAGGCTTAAGCAGCATTTGGAGATCTTTCAAGGTGTTAAATTGGTAGAAGTTGCTTTAAGTCCTTTCTTTTCTGGGTAGCAGAAAAAAAACCACACTTATTTTTGTTTGTTTTGATCATGTTTTGCATAGAGTTGTGTTCTAGATTTTATAGCAAAATATAAGCATTGTCTATATTTAACTTGTAAAATAGAATAATTAACATATTATTTTGTTAAAACCCTCAGAAATGTGCCTAAACACATTGCTGTCATTCTTCACTGTGTTACCTATTCAGAAACATGCTGAATTTGCAGTTTACTGTTTATGTTTTCTTTAAAAAAAATTTGAATTATCTAAGTTGAAAACACAACAAAAATAAGATCCCGAGGTCTACTTTTATTTCACAGCCTGAACAAGACCAAACCCAAATCATACCTGGAAGGTGATGCTTGCATATACTCAAAGTGTAATTTGCAGCAGTGTGGAATTTGTTTTAAAAATTTTGCTTTCTAATGCATTGAACATGAATGGTCTGACATCAGGACACCTTTTCCTGTTTGAAAGACTGTGTTTTTCAAGTGTATGGTTCCTAAGGAAACCTTTAATTTACCAATATCAAGTATTTCAAGTTATTTCCACATCTAGTTTTCCACCAGATTTAATGGGGGTGTCGGCTAGCCTATGGAAAGTTGCCAGAAATCTCTTTTGATACCAAGAGGGATCAATGGGAATCAATAAAAAGGTAGGATCAGCATAGAAGAGGATGCTGAAGGTGCAGTTATGGCTTGGAAAATACTCAGATATTGGAGCAAGAAGAGGTGCTGTGCTGCTGAAGGCACATCTTGACAAATTTACCTGTGGAATTCCAGCCAGGATGCAAAAACTGGACAGCCCTTCCTGAGAAATGCAAGCATGTTTAGGAAGTAGCTGGAGCCAAACCAAGCAAGTTTTTCCTCCTTCAAACTTTGTGTCCTTCTCCTAACAGTGATGAAGAGCAGATTGTTCTCCAGAGCTGTCATCGTTTCCATGTCCAAAGGGAGATCTGGCACCAACCTCTGTGGTTGCTTGTGTTTAACAACTCACTCTGAGTTCTAGTGGGAGGTCCAAGGGTCTGACTGGAGTGTGGTGCAGACAGAGAAAGTGGTTGGCACAGCACTGAAGGCCCTGAACCCATAAAAAAAGTTTTAACACTAGAGGTTAACTACACCTTTTTATGGCGTTGCACTGTGTCTGAGCAAAAACCCAATTATTTATGCCGGAGCCAAGCAGACCCACATGCTTTGGCTTGGTCAGCCTGCCCATGCTGGCTCCCTGTGAATCTTTTGTCTCATTATTTGTTCTCTTAGCAATCCATCTGTTTAATAACACCTTGTTCTGTGCTTCACTCTGCAGTAAAACCCATTGCTTCAGCATTCTGCTGCTCAGGCCAAACCCTGTAATCTGCTCTAAGCTGTGAACCCCCAGCAGCATCCCAGATTGCTTTACAGGCCTCCAGACAGACCCAGCACCATGGGGTTCTGGCTTTTCTGCTTCTCCTCCACTGGGTTTATTGTCTCTTCTTAGAGGAAATATTGAATGAGTATTAAAACTCACTCTGGGCCAGGCAAGGAAGCACTGACAATCTACAGCTCACAATTTATGCAACACTCTGCTAATTTTAGTCTCAGATGTGGCCAGGGCAGACAATCCCCAGGGCAGAGATGTTTGCTCTCAGCTGAGGGCAGCACATGACATATGGTTCCTAAAGCATCCTCCAAGCTGGGAGCATTGCATTCAGGCCTGAGTTGCTTCAGTTCCCTCCAAGTCATAACTTTGAGGATTACTCAGCCTAGACAGGCAAACACAGAGAATCTGCCTCCTTATTTAGATTATCCTGCAGCCTGAATCAGTGAGCAGCCTCAACCCCACTGGGCTTCTATTTCCAGTGTTTCATGCGCTTCCAGTGAACCTGACAGTGCCAGGCTAAGGGAGAGCAGGAAGTGGACCAGGCAGGGAGAGCTGTGTTGAACACAGCTGGGGCAGCTTGGACACGGAGCTTTGGCACTGGGGCCATGGGCTGGGTGGTCAGGGATGCTGCTCTGACCTGGGAATGGAAGGCAGTTTTGATCAGGATGCTCTGAAGCAGCAACTGCAGCCTCAGCTGATCTGCTGTGAGTGTGCTATTCATAGAGGAGGGGCCTTGCATCACAGCAGGGCTGGCAAGAGAAAGCACCAATGCAGCTTTAACCATCTCAGGGCATTTTGGATATCTTAAACCCCACTAGAGTTCTGTAGTGAGCTCCTTACTGGGCTCCATGGGCAGCTCTGGCACTTGGCTAAAAGATAATTTCCTAAAATTTTCCCTTTCCTTATTCTATACTTTGCACCAGAGTTGGACTTGCACAGCTGATTGTACTGATAAGAAACACAAGCAGAATCAAAACAAAGAACCAAAAAGTCCTATGAAATCTAATTTCCAAGCAGTGGAAGAAAAAATAATCAGTGCTGTCAGAATGAAAAAGGCTGAGCTTGTCAGGAAATATTGTTTTCTGCAGTATCTAAAAATGCTTTCAAAATATGCCACAAACAGGGGATTAAAAAAGCTCAGCTAATTCAAATAGAGAACAAAGTTCCTCTGAATTTTTACCAGGTGATGACATTCAGCCACAAGCTGTGTTTGATGACTGAGGTCCTGGAGTCTGGGATTTCCAACATGGTGATGAGGAAGGAGACAGCTCATGCACAGGGCTCTGACACAGGGCAGTGAGTGGGACAGCTCTGCCCATCTCTGACTTTGAGATATCATGATTAGGCCCATTCTCCTTTCATTTTAAATTCCAGGGATTCCAGCTGAAGGTTCCTTCTTTGTCCCTGAGGTCAGGTAGGATGTCTTTCGGAGGCCAAATAAAGTACCACAGAATTGAATCTACTGCATCAACAATACCCAGCTTGATGATTAAAACCTGTCTAGAACCAAATTTTACCTTAGGTCCCTGTCAAATGTTGGGAGACTGGAAATAAGCCAAACTTATTGCAGTTGGAACTGTATTAGCTGGGCTGCAAATATTCCTTCTTTCCCATTTCTTGGTGTGGCTGTCCCCATCCCCATGGGGAAGAGCCTCTCTCAGCTCAGACCAGCCCTCACCTCCAGCAACAAGGTTAGGGAAGATGCACTACATTCCATGGGGACACTCTGAGCCGAGCAAGACTGTCCCAGCTCAAAGGCAAAGCAAGGAGAACTCGCCAAGGATCTGCTCTGAGTCTCTGGAGGGCCTCTGCACCAGAAAGGGGCTGCAGGTGTTCACATCCACACACACACTCCCCACTGCTGGTCATGGCAGGTGCTCTTGCACAGCTCCAGACAAAGAACAGGAAATTTCCTCTGATTCCCTCCCCACCCTACTAAGAGGGGAGTAAAGGGTGTGTTAAAGAAACACTACTGAGCAAAATATGAAGATAGATTCCTTTGTATTAGAGATCAGTTGAGTGAGTCCAGGGACTAGCTCAGGCATCCCTCCACTGCCCAGGGGGGTAAAAAATATCCCCCAAAACCAACCAAAAGACCCCTCTCCAGCTTCGAAAGGGGATGTGAAAAACAAGAGGGCAAAGAACACAGTAAATCAAAGAGTGCTTCTAAGAAAAGCAGCAGGGTAAGATCATTCCCAGTCTGAGAATCGCCTTGGGAGGCATCAGTGGCCCCACACCGACATGGAATTATCCTCTGCAAACCCCCTGCAAGGGCATGCATAGAGTTCCCTCCTCCTGCCTTTGTTCTGGGCAGTGTTTCGTTCTGGGGCCAGTTCCCAGGAGGAGTTCCCATCCCCTTATTCCTGGAGTATCCCATTTTTCTGAAGCAGCTCTCAGAAGCAGTCATCCTTCTTGCCTCCAGCTCCCTGCATTCACCCACGGTCCTTCCGCTCTTGGACAAGCTCCAGGTCATCTGTGTCATCCACCTCCCCTCCATGATCCTCCTGGGGGTACAGGGAACAGCCAGGAAGGAAAAATCAGCAAAAAGGAAATGCTGGAAAGGTAGACCCTAAATAACAGCTCACCATGCTGTCCCCAAGCAGAACTGTTCCAACAAGCTAGCCCAGCTTTAGAAACCTGGGAAAATAGGGAAGAACCCACCTCTGCCAGGCACCTTTAGGTGTCACTGGCAGGACACAGAGGTGTCGTCATGATCAGACAAGGTGTTTTAAGCACATTTAATATCCTGGCAGTACAATGCAACTTTGACATCTCAGCCTGTTGCCTCTGCTGCATGAAGAGCAGAATGAGGGGTAGATATGAAGAGCAGATATGAGAAGCTGACATTTTACATCCACCACATTTAAAACTGTGTCACAAACCCCACCCAGGACAGGCAGCAGCCAGCAAAGCCTCCATAGATTGTTTTAGCTCCAACCATCCATTGCAGACACCTACAAGAGGCCTGGATTCACTCAGGGAAAAGAGACCTGACACCAACGCTGCTCTGCCTACCCCCTATTTCCCTACTCCATTCCCAGCAGGCAGCCCAAACCCTCAGCTCCTCAGCAGTCCTGGGGAAACTGCAGAAAAAATCCTCAGGAGCCACTCACAAAGGGCAGGGAGGGAATGAATGAGACTGGAAGAGGATTCATTTCTATCTCTGTGAGCCAGAAGGTACCAGGGTGAACCTCTCTAGCTCATGCTTGACAAACATTGCTCTGGCCTTGCTGCACTGGCACAGCCTGCGATTCATCACAGTTGCTGTTTGGGAAGCATCCCACAGCTTAGCTGCTGCAGGTAGATGCAGACAGAAAGAATGAAGGGACAAAGAGCACAAAAGGCGCTCTGAACACCTGAAAAAGGGAGCAGTGGTCTCCAGGTTCATTCTGTAGACCTCACTGAGCAGGCAGAAGCAGACCTAGAGTCCCTGCTCACATCCGGCTCCCTAAAAGCTGAGTCCTCCCCAGCTCCTGGCTGCCAACACACCCAGGTGACACCACAGCAGAGGGGGAAAGAGGAAGAACCTTGGTGTCGTACAATTTCTTGCTCCTGATCTTCTTGGTAGTCCTCCAGTGGGTCTTCCCTGGGCTTGGGAGGTCTGGCAGCATCCTGAAAAACACAGCCAGGCATGGTTGAGAGTGCCCCAGCCTGCTCCTATTCCCCGCCAGGGACACAGCTCCCTGGATGAGAGCCCCAGCTCTGGAAGTCAGGGCTGGATCAGGAATCAGGGGGAGCAGAGGGACAGTCAGGCAACACAAACTCCATTTATTTTTTCCATCCAGTTGCTTTTCCCACCTTCTAGCAGCTCCTTCCACTTGGAGAAAGATGTCTCTCCTGCAGCAGGAGGGCCCCAGGGCTCTTGCCCCAAGCCCCAGCACTCTGGAAAACTTTGCGTTATTTAGTGTAGAGCTTTGGGGAGCACAGCAGAGCCAGATCTGAAAGCCAGGTATTTATGTCACTAATTCTTTCCACATTTTCACTAATCTCAAGGAGGTGTTGCTCTGCTGGTGTCAGCATCTCTCATTTGATTTCCTTGGTCTGGATTTAGTTTTTTCTTTCTTAATTCCACTGTTAATCATGATTTTAGACCCTGACAGACAAAACACTCCTTTTTTAAAACAGGCAATGTTCAGCTGCTAGTCAAACCAAATGAACATTTCCCTGATACAAAGTCTGGCTTCAGGCAGCAAGAAACACTTTGTGAAATAAATGGATTCCATCTGCAAGGAGGCAGACAAGGAGACAGAGCTCTCACATGTTGTCATTGCTGCCAGGAGCCTTGGACAGGGCTGCACTGACCAGAACCCGAGCACAGACTCAGATTATTGTCTCTGGTTCTGGTCCCAAGTGCATGAAAAGTACCTGAAAAAGCCCCTCTGCAGGAACAGCTGGGAGTGAGCCATCCCCTATTCCACATCTCTCCATTCCTAAGGGCACTTTAGGTGCCGGGGGGACTTCAACAAGCAGAGAGGATAAGGCCAGAGCAAGCTCTGGTACATGGCTAAAAGATAATTTCCTAAATTCTGTCACCTTTGCTTATTCTGCTCCACTCTGCCCCAGAGCTGGAGTTGCACAGCTGCTTGTACTGGTAGGAAGCACAAGCAGAAGCAAAACAAAGAACCAGAAAGTCCTATGAAATGTAAATTTCAAGCTTCATTACAGCCAGTGGAAGAAAAAATAGGTTGGTTTTGACCAACCTGCCAGAGAGCTTTCTCCTACCTGCCACATCCTCGCAGTGGGATTATGGATCCATCCAGGAATCTGATGTTTCCCTTTCAGTCCTTAAGCTCTCTGCCCACGCATCCCCAGCTGAGAAACCCTCCCTGGTCCTGCTAGTTGTCCCTAGTCAGTCACCTTTGGTGGTTTCTCCTTCGACTCTTCTTTAACACTGGGCTCCTTAAACTTCTCTGAGCCTCCCATCTTCTCTTCAAAATCAGGTCTCTCCAGCTCAGCCTCCTCAAACTCATCCTCACCTTGGTTATTGGGGTCCTGGGCAGGATCTGCAGCATCAACTGGCATCTGGACAAGAAAAGCCTCTTGTGAATAGCTGGCAGGATATTCCCTCAGGAGGCAGAAAGGTTCTTTCCCCAGCAAGAGGAGGCGCTGGCCTGGAACACTTTGTTGCACCTCTCCAAGCCTTTTAGTGTTTGTTAAAAAAACCCAAAACAGTCTTTGTTATCCCTCCAGACCCAAGGAGATTGGAGTTGCACATGACAGAAAATTCTGGGCAATTATTGACTTATTGGACTCTTATTCCAAGCCAGAGTTGCATCCAGGTGAAACATGGCAGGATGAAAAGATGAAAACTTTTCACAGCCAGGTTGGACGGGGCTTGGAGCACGCTGGGACAGTGGAAGGTGTCCCTGCCCATGGCTGGAAGGAGGATGAGATGAGCATTAAAGTCCCTTCCAACCCTTGGAGTGGTTTTGTGATGCTGTAGTTACTCACCATGGGCTCCTGGACCACGGCCTCTTTCTGTGAGTGCATGTTCTCCTCCCTGTTGATCACTCCTGCATCTGCCAGGGACAGGGACCAGGACAGGGACAGGGACAGGGACAGGGACAGGGACAGTACAGGGACAGGGACAGGGACAGGGACAGGGACAGTACAGGGACAGGGACAGGGACAGGGACAGGGACAGGGACAGGGACAGGGACAGGGACAGGGACAGGGACAGTCAGTGGGGTCTCCTTAAAGCCACTGCCAGCAGTTTTGTGCTTTATCTCAACCTGCTCAGCGCAGGTGATACTCTGTGAATGTGTGCAGAGAAATATCATAAAGGAAACCATTTCCGTACCCATTTCCAGCTCCTCCTCATCCACCCTCTCCTTCTCTGCTGCCTGCTCTGCCCCTCTCCTCAGGCTGGGGGGCTGGGGGCTGCCTCTCTGTACCTTCTGCCCAGCCTTGGGGGCAAACTGAAGGTCCTTGGGGTACCCATGCACTTGTTCCTCATCCATCTGGACGTTCACCTTGCTAATGAGGTCCTTCCAGCTGCAACCAAACAGAACCCCCCTGCCTCAGTAAATATTCCATAAAACCATTTCATAATGGTAAGCAGAGAAAAAATATACTCCAACACATGCAGAAGTTTGGCCTAATTTAACTTTTTTTTTAGTCAAAACTAGCAGATTGTATTAATTACTGTGATATCTGCTTGAAAAAAAACATTTAATATGCCACATAGTAAGAAATAAGTTCTGCTTTGTAAATACAATTTATTGTAGAACTCCCTTAGTCTTATTCATATGACAATGACATCCACATAGCAATAAACTCCAGTTCTAAATAGATTCTTACTCATGACTCACACATACCCAAACACGCACATCTAATTGTTTAAAAATATCGAAACTACAATTCCTCTTCATTGTTCCAACTTAATGGAAAATGAAGATGATACTAAATTAAAATGAATGCTTCCCAAATACCTCAACAGCCTTAGTCAGGGGCAGCTTCAGAAGCAAAGAAGGGATGAAATCTCACTGACAGGGACTCAAAAATAAGTGAAGCAAAATCTTTTAACCCCCGTAAGTTGCAGCAAATTCCAAGCAGGCTCACTGCTTGCTACAGCCTATCCTCTACATGAAATTTAAAATTTTTTTTAAGACATTTCAGTTTTTTAACTGCTGGAAAGGACAAATGACCTTACCTTTAGCAGCTCTTTAAGCCAGCACACAAACAAATGAGATTTAAAAGTTTGCTTAAGACATTTCAATTTCTAATTACTGGAAAGGACAAGTGACTTTAACTTTAGAGGCTCTTTAAGCCAGCACACAAACCCCTCAGTGAGAAGAATCACTACGCAGCCCTCAGCTCAGACTTCCCCATTGTAAAATCACCGAAAAGCAGGTCGGCCATCAGCAAGAGTTGATCTGGAACTCACTGGTCAGAGCCTCCCAGGGCAGTAATTCCTGGATGTGTGCCCCCTTTGTGCTCTGCTGCAGCCTCGAGTTGCTCTTGGCTCTGGCAGGGTTGGGTTCCGTGCTCTTTATCACAAATTTATCACAAATCTCAGTCCATGTAAGAACAGCCCCTATAACTCCTAGGTGATCTGGAGTCTTGTAACTCCAACTGCTCTGTAACTCCTCGGTGATAGCTCCAGGAAAAGCAAAGCACACCGAAAACCGCAGGATCCCTGTCCTCACCAAAATCCCTTGCCAAACAAATCAATGCAGTTTTCTGCCTCACATGAAGTGACAGGAGCCTGGCTGGGCTCAGCGTGGTGAGGAAAGGCTATTCTGCCATCACAGCCCTCAGCCACACCCACACCAGGCCCACACCAGGCCCTGCCTGCAACAACTGATGCCTTAGCATTTCAGCTTTTCTATTTTTCATCTATTTGTAACCCTGCAGTTCTTTAGTGCATGTTATAAATCCATACTGTGATATTGGCTTTTCACAAATATTAAGATGAATGTTCTATGTTACATGCTTTTGCTATGTCTTTTTCTTTTTCTCCTGCTAGCAAGTTTTAGGCATAGGTCAAGAAGAATTTTGGACATTAGGGCTAGGTCCTGTCTGTACAAAGCAAGATAACCTCCAGTGAACAGATGATGGGGCCCAGGCTGCTATCAATACTGACCACCTGTAGAAGAAGGAACCCCAGCCCAAATAAAAAGATGATAAAGAGAAATTAAACTTCTGGGATGCATGTTCTAAAAAGGCAGACCCAGGGCGTGGCCATGCAAAATACTTCTTGGAAAAGTTTGAATATGCATTAAACCCCTACAGCAGAATGGGATAAAAGAAGTGTTACAAAGATACCAGGTGTACTCTTGGCAGCGTGCCAAGGCACCCGGCTGTTACCTTTTATTTTATGTCTCCTATTGTCTTTATTAAGCCTTTTAAAATTTAACAGGAGAGTGAACCTCATTTTTCACAGTGCAGAACTCTACACTTCACACACAGTGGGAGCTGCTGCCTTCCCATTTTGGGCAGACACAGCAATTCCTCTCCAGGCCTGGGAATCAAGGACACCTCACTGCCCCAGGCCTGAGAGATGGAAACAAAAGTGAGTTGGGGACAGCAAACTTGGGGTAAATTCCTTCATTTCCTGAAGCTGGAATTGGAGGATTAACCCCCAATCTGCAAATGGATCAAATTTATAAAAGGATAAAAACCCATGAGCCATGGTCCATTTTGGGTGGTTTTGTCTGCCCTAAATGCACCTGAAGGCCCTTTGATAAATAGAACTGCTTTTTATTCCCTTAATTTTGTCTGGCCTCTGTTTTTAGGGACTCCAGAAAAGGCATCACAACCACAATATCCCCTGAGCTGTTCCTGCTGTGGTCCCTGCAGAAGTGATTTATCACAGCACTTTGGGGAGGATGTGGCCATTTAAAGAAATAATCAAAGCACAGTTTCTGCCCCGGAAAGGCCACAGGTTAAGTGATCAGACAAAAATAGAAGAGAAGAAAGGGCAGGAACAGGCTGAGTCTAGAATGAAATGAAGTTTTGTCTACAGATTAAACAGAAATGAAATCCTGTTTGCTCCAATAAACCGAACAGACACAACCTGCACACACACAGGGGATAAATAAATTAAAGGAGGAAGCACTATTTCCAGAGCCACTTTTTGGATTGTGGCCAGGCTTTGATGAATTGCAGCCAGAGAGAGACATTTTCTTCCTTTTGCAGAACAGAACAGTCTCCTGCCAGTGCTTCTGAGACAACAAATGGTATCCCCAGTGTCTGTACAGCATCTACTGGATCCTGGGCCCTGACCAGGCTCCCAGGAATTCCACCAATACCAGTAACACACCAAAAAAAGGCTGTTCCTCCAATCATTTTTCAAGCAAACCCACAATAAAGATGAGAGAGACATGTGATGCTCCTTTTGGGCATTTTCACCCCAAAAGCTGAGAGTGGAAGAGTTTTGTGTCACCAACCTTTGCATTTGCACCTGTCTGATCCCTGCTGAGTGGTGGTTATCTGGTACTGGAAGCTTTTCTGCTGGAGAGGGTTGTCCTGGATCAGCCAGGGACAGCCCAGGAGCCTGGCTTTCCTCATGGCTTCGCACCTGGATGCGCATCACCATCTTCACATCCTGCACAGGAGACACATGTAGGCACCTGGGATGTCAAACACCCCCAAATCTGGACAGGTTTATGGGCCAGAAAATCCTTTATCAAAGAATAAACATCTTGAAATGCTTCCAAAAAAATCTACAGCCCACCTGCCCACCCTGCAATAGAAGACTCCTCTTTTAGCGCAGCGAAAAAGGAATAATTCAGATCCTACATTATCCAGGTTTATCTGGGGTAGGTGAATCTCCAAGAAAAGAGGAGCAACAAAACTGCCTCTAAAATACCTCTCCCACATCGACATTACTGTAATTAAAGTCCAGCCATGCTGCAATTACTGTCTTTTTTTTAAAAGAGATTTGCTGTCCATAACTCCCTCTCAATCACCCCAGGAGGCCAGGAGGGCTGCTTTGATGATTTATTCTTTGCAGCCTTGGCAGAAGAACCCAATCCCCTGAGCCTGGGCACGAGACCACCAACTCAGTGTGTTAAACCTGAGGCCAGCACTGCTCACGCACATGGCACCACAAACACCAGAATTCAGAGCTTTCACAAGACAAGGCCACACCAAAGCAGTGTAGAACCTACTGGGTTCCTGTTGGGCAAGCTGTTCATGGTGCGGGTGAACCTGACCATGTGGCTGTCCCCATGCCGCACTGGCCAGGCTGGCACGGCCTCTGGCAGTGAATTGGCACCCTGTTCTGGGGCTGGCTGACTGAAGGGCACATGTGGCTGTGGCCTGGGGCCATCATGGCTGGAAGATCCCTGTCCTGCCAGCCGCTGAGCACTGGGCACCGCTGAGGGCAGCGTGGGATGGTTCTCCTGGCTGGCCTGGAAAGACTGCAAGGAAGGAAGGAAGACAAGAGCAAATTCAGCTTTGTTATCTTAAAGCTCCACCAGCCTTGAAGAATGCTTATCCCTGGGTTTTCCTGGGAATACCACACCTTCTGTCTCCCCAGCTGAAGCCGGCTGCTGGCTGGTACCAGAGGCTGCTGCCCCTTCCCAGCTCCTCCTCCTCCTCTCATGCCTGGCATCTTCTGGAGAGCTTCTTTGAGCTGCCTGAACTCTTCCATCTGGGCCTGAGTGGAGGAGAAAGACACAGAGAGACCTCACATGGGGTTTAACATATCCCTGCTGGGAACAGCCACTCCTTATTTGTCTGGCAGAGGTACATTTTGAATAAAATGTGTATTTTATGCATATGAAAGTTGGAGAAAATTCACAGCCATTAATGACAACCCCAAATTTCTATCTTGCCCCTTTGTCAGTCTTGTCTCTCATTTTACTGCACTTCTACCCTGAGCTGCTGCATTGATTCTTTTCCTGATGCTGTTCAGTGCAGGAGGCATGGATTAACTCCTGCCTTTGCACAAGGGTATCCTGCTCTTAGCTGTGCCTCCCTCTCCTCATGTACCTCCAGATCACCTAATTTCCTTCCAGTGGAGGCATTTCCCCCTGGATGTGCTCATCCCAGCAGGGCTGACAATAACTGGCATAATCCTACTTGACAATCCAATTTACTTTGCAAGACGAAGGAAAATCGATTCTCCTGGATTGGGTGAGCAAATGCAACCCATCTCTCTCTTTCTTTCATTTCCAGCCCTGAAAAGTAGGGCTTGAAAAAGCCACTCAGAAAAGCTCCTCATTTCCACCCTTGTTATTTATAGGAAATTGAAAGGGGGAGACCTTTTTCATGTGCTTGCCAGGGTACCTGGCAATGGACCAAATTAGGGACTGGACAGAGTAGGAAAGTTTCCAAGCAGCAAGCAAAGTTTAGCAGGAAATTAATTCCTGAGCAGGCTTTGTTGATTTTCAGTTCTTCCCCATGAAATGTGACCTTAAAATTAACATTAAAAACAAAACAAACACCAACAAAACCTCTCAGCAAAGCAAACATAAAAGGAACGAGGAAAAGGCAGCCAAGAAGGGTTCCTGGGATATTAATTTGTAGGAAACTTCCAGTCAAGACAACCCAGAAGGATGCAAAACTTGTACCCATCCAAGCATCACTTGGAAGTATCTGGAATGTGGGGAGATGTTCCATGGTTGGGAATTCGGAGGCTTTGTGCAGAAAATCTGTATTTTCAGCTGCTGGGATAGACTCCAGGCTGGAGGATTTTCCAGAGTGGATCTACACTACCAACACCATTTTAGGCAACTCACCACCCTGGAATACAGCTGGAAACTGGATTTATTATTTAGAGAATATCTGGATGCAGACCCCAGGTGGTTACCTGGGCATTGAGGAGCTGGGAGTGAACATCCTGGTGAGCCTTCCTGAGGAGCTTGCTCTCTTCTCTGAGTTTAAACACAGTGTCTGCAGGAAAAGAAGAAATTTGCTTAAAAGAGAAAGTTTTTTCAAGTGTGGCATCTCCCTTTCTCACCATCGATTTCCCCTGACCTCACAGATCTCTCCAAGCCAAGGAATTACAAACCTACTCACCATTCCTTCCAGCACTCCCAGGAATTCCTTCTCTCCAGACTCTTTCCTACCTCCTGCTCTCAGCTCAGGCTCCTGCTGTGTTTGCCACAGGACTCAGATAATGCTTTTTTATTTCCCTTCTCCCTTGCAGCTCAAGAGAAGGGGGAGCAGGGAGTCACTGCCCCTTCCTGGGGCAACTGCGAGGTTAAGGAAGAGCCCCAGGAAGAGTTTGCCAGCTCTCCTGAGTCCACAGATTCCCTCCTCCTGCACAAAGAAGCTGCTTCTTGATGGTACATACCAAAAAAAACCCCACGACCCACTTAGAGAAAACAACCATGGGACAGCTTTGTCCTCAGGCACGTTTATTCCTGAGCTTTTAAGGAACAGTTGTGCCTGCAGCCTCCAGGTTGGAGCTTGAAAAAGAGCTTTTTCAAACTCTTTGCACGCTCCTGAGCACTGCAGCGCCAAGACATGCGATGTGCTGAGGTCTGGGGATCATCATGTACCCTCTGACAGAAATGAAAGGCTGTGTCCCAAAATGCCAGCCTGATTTTGGATCCTGGATCTCTCGGAACACCCCCAGGACAGGAGGCACCAGGGTTTCTCTGAACACACAGTTGCAATGTGGGCTGGGATGGCAATCTTTCCATGACTGGATGGTCTCTGTGGTGGGCTAAATAGCACACAAGACTAAAAATTACAGATATTTCTGATTACAGGGTTTATTTTCTTTATATTCAGCCCTGGGACAACACATTTTTCCACTGAGGTTGGGTGCCATGCTGTTGCCTTGCAGTGAGGGTTGACATCAAATTAAGAATGGAACTCACTGAAAGCCAGTCTAACAAAAACCCCTCGATTCCCCTCTAACAATGTGTATTTCAGGAACAGAGACAATCAAATACTTAGGTTTCATTTATTTGTCCTCAACTTCCCCCCCTCTAACCCAAAAGCTCATCAGATATTATACTGCGCTTTGCTGAGCAGAGGGAAAGAAACCCAAACATCGACAAGCAGATTTTGATGTTCCAGACCTCATCAGGTAGGAACAGATGCAAAACTTAGAAGTCCCACAATATAATTAAACAGCAACTGAATAAAAACTACTCTTTGGGAATTAAAGGGATCAGCATTACCTACAACACTCACACTATTAAATTGCATTTTACAGACCTACACCATTCATTAAAAAAAAGTGTGTCTCATTTTGCTCCCAAGCTCAAATGTCAGAATTTGCAGGATTTGTTCCAGCAGCACCATCTGAGGCAGGACAGTGCTTCAAGACACTGCACATCATCATACAAAATTGTTCCTGGGGGTGTTTTTGGGGGCTTGCAGAGGAATCTCTGCTCTCTCTTGATCCCAGTCCTTCCTCAGCCTGGTGTTTATTGAGTTTTTATTACCCTCACCCTGCAGGTTGGTGACCTCGCTGTCCTTCTCCTGCTGCAGCTGGGTGAATTTCTGGCTGTGGGTCTCCAGGCTCTTACGGTGCTCCAGTTTCAGGCTGTTGTGCTGCAGCTGCAGGTCCAGCAGCTGCTTCTTGACATCGTCATGCTGGTTCTGGAGAGAAAAAGAAGGCTTAGAGTCAGTCCTAGGGGAGTAATTGAGTATTGCCAAGTGTGTCTGTTTAATCAGTTGCTTGAGGGGGCAGGAGAAATGTTTGTTCCTCCAGCGAGGCAGCCAGAAATCCCAAGTATAATCAAGCACTCTCTGTGTTCAGTGGTCCAGGGGAAGATGTAAAATGCCAGTTAAACTCTGCTTTGGGAGGAGGTTCTGGGGGTTTCCTTGGGAGCCAGTAAGCTGGAGGCAAATTGGTGGCAAGTCCCTTTCTGGAACAAGGCCAGGAGCTGCTCCTGCAGAAATCCATTGCAGTGCAGGCCATGAAATTTGCTGGTATCAAACCAAACACCTGTGAAACACAAATCCAAGGGCTCTCCCAGACTTCCCAGACCTCTAAAGGACATTCCCTGCTCCTTTCCATGGAATCCCAGCCTGCACACTGCAGGGTGGGAATAATCACCTTTGAAGAGGGTCAAATGCCCATGACCTTCCTCAGGTGTTGGACACACACCTGGACACCCAGGGCTTTTCCCTCTGCTTGGTTTGCTTCCCAACAGCCTGGAAGTTCTCCCAGACACCCCTCAGAGCTGGTCTGACAGGACCGAGAGCTTCTGCAGGGATCCTGACAGAGCCCACGTTCCCCACAGCACCACGGGGCTCACAGGCATCAAATTCCAGGGTAACAAGACTCTCACAAGACCACAGACTATTTCAAGAAGGCCAAGAATTCACCAGATAGAAGCGAGCTGGAAAGCTGCTCTCTTCTTCCCTCCCTCTTGCAGAAAACACTCAGAAACATCCTTTTACTCAGATCTGCTGAACCAGAATTCACCTCCTTTGGGTTTTTTTGTTGTTGTTGTTGTTCCCATGGTAACCCAGAGAGAGATTCCTTCCACATTCAGTTTGTCAACACCAATTATGTATGCAGACTGAGTGGCTCTCAGGTGAACCCTGGCCCTGCCACACCATCAGGATTCAGGCAGCCATTTCAGTGAGGCTTCCTGGGGGGAAAAATAAAACGTAAAAAATATTCTTATTTTTTTAAAAACCTCTAAATGCTATCAATGCTTGCATTTATCTCCCGGAAAACAAAGTGTCTGTGGCCCAGGCATTCCTCCTGAAGCAATTATCTTCCATTAAAAGAGAGGTAGCTGTGCTCCAAAAACACAGGCAGTGCAGAGGAAAAGATGGAGGGGTCCCAGAGACAGAACAACGACATCAGGTTAACCAGATCACAAGATCTGGAAGGAAAATAAAGAGAACTGAAGATTCCCACTTCGGCTTTCAAAGGTACTTTGAGTGCTCACCAGAGCCCCTAGCAGAAAGCACTGCAGAGGAACCAGTTCCCTAAAATAATTTTGATACCAAACATCTCAGAAACCACAACATTAGTGAGGTTTGATTTAAACAAGAAGCTCCTGTGAAATCCAAGGAGTTTTCAGTTCTCATCAGCTCAGGCCAATTAATTTCTCGATTATATTCTGCCTGTGAGGTGATGTGCATAATTTGTGTTGCCAGATTGCTCCCAGGCAGGAGGGAGGAAATTTTCATTCTCTGACAGTAGCAGGAGCTAGGAAGGGAGACATATGCCTCAACCAAGGTCTCACACAGCACCCAAGGCTGCTGCTTGTCCAGCACAGGGAGCATTCCCACTCCCAGATGATTTCTGAGGGCTGGGACCAGGCGGGGCAAAACTCCAACAGGAATCCAAAGATGCTGCTGCAGACAGGAGGTCTGGAACAGCCCACATGGGATTATTAATCAGAGAATTTAATTATCTGCAAGCAGAACATTCCTGACCCAGTCAGTTCCACCAAGGCCAGTATCCTGAGGTGCCCAGGGACCTCTCATGTCCTTCTGAGTGAGAAGATTCCCTTCTCCACCTCCCAATCCTGATGTCTAACTCAGTCAAGCAGCACCTACAGGATACAGCACATGAATGTTGTGTAAATGATGTTTAGTGCAGCTGGGGTGAGGGGTGACATGACATCTTGTCCTGGCATTTCTGGGTCCCTCCCACTGCAGTTTGTGGAAATCATCATTCCCAAGTCAGCTCATCTCCCAAAAATCAGGAGTTCTTCCACTCAGAGCAGCAAGTTCTCCCCTCCCACCTTCCTTCTGCTGTTTAAACAGCAGGAAGTGCCTGAGATGTTTCAGACCTCACTCCCCAAGGCAGAAATGATCAGGTGAAGGTGAAGAAGGCAATAACAGCACCTCAAACCCAGCTATTTCTGCCTTGATTTAAGAGCAACTTTGTGGGCAGCAACTGGACAAAGTGGAATCAATAACCTGGATGTTTAACTCAAAGCAGAGGAAGGCCACACATCATTTTCCATGTTACAGCAGCCTCAGGAAGTCCACACCAGAATTCCTTGGCCTGCTGCAGGGAATGCCAGGATGCCTCCTCCAGAGTGATGGCAGCCAAACATTTTCATCTCCACTCAAGAGGAAGAAAGGACTTTGTAACACAAAGCCTGGCCCCCGCAGGAACCCAGACACAGGCAACTAATGCTATTTTTAGGCAAAGTCAAGCCCCTCTGAGGGGCTGTGCCAGATCCAGATGTGAATCAGACATCGAGGGAGGACCAGAGCACACCAGGGTGACAGCAGTGGCCAGGAATACCAAAGCCGGATGTGCTGCTGTTGCTTCATGGAACCCTTTGGTGACGTTTGGGACCTCCAGCCCAGCTGCTTCTGGGCATGTATGACATGTCCCATTTCCAAGGTAATGACATTCCTGGCAGCAATCTTCCTCCTGAGCAAGCCAGTTCCACTGGGAAACATTTTTGCCTGGGCTGCAGTGACAGAAGTGTCACTCAGAGCCTCATAATGGGCTAAAAAGTGCTTTTTCAGTCTTGGGGTGGGGGGGGTGGGTTGAAATCTCCCACAGTCCCAAGGGCTGGTTTTGTCTTTCAGCAGCTGTAAATGGAGTTTAAAAAAAAACTAGATGGTTGGGGCTGGTTTTTTTTTCCCACCCCTCCAATGAAAGGAAGCAAGGGAAAGGGAGCCAGGAGAAAAAAAAAAGCTCTGAGTGTCCCCTTGAAAGAAGCAAAGCAGAGCATTCTGCTCAGCCTGCAGTTGCTATGAAGAGGAATGTTGCTGTTGCAGAGTGTTCCCAGAATCCACAGTGCTGAAGAATACCCAAGAGACAGAACTGTACTTCCCTTTTCCCCAAGCTGGAATCCAAAAGCCAGGCAGCTGGAGGTCCAGCTTAGCTCAAGAAATCCAGCCCAGCAGTGCTAAGGGCAGCTGGAACCCAGCCCTCTTTCTCCATCCCAGAGTTAAATTAGCATTTCACTGCCAAGGTTTAGACTAAAAACGTTAAATAAAAACCATCCCAGCAGCACCCAGTTGCACTGCTCCAACAAAAGCAAAATTGAACATCAAGATACACTTCAGGTAGAGCAGGTAATAAGCTATAAAATGGTATAAAATGCTATAAAATGCTACAAGCTTCCCTGCTCTGAGCCTCTTCCATGGACTGGAATATTTTGTACAAGCCCAAAGGGTGAGCTCCAATGAATAAACCCATTTTCACACCAAGACCCAGAAAACCAGCAAAACCCTGAATGATAAAAGTGCAGAAAGGCTGCTATTGAAACAAGTTGTGGGTGAGAGCTGTAACCTGAGACAGAGTCAACAGGGAACTGTCCCGGACCTGAGCAGTCAGGGAGAAAAGTGGATCAACACGGATCTCCTCACCAAGTGCAGGAATCTTGGGATTTTCCATCCCTTAGAACACAGCAGCCAAACCTTCCTTACCTTCAGGATCTTGTGCTGGGAACTGAGGGCTCCGTATCTGTTCATGGAGTCTTGCTGGGGAGAAAAAAGATCCAGCAGTGCCATTAGAGTCCAGAAAAATCCAAGGGAGGGAGAAAAAATGCACAGAAGCACCTGCCCAAATTCACACCCTCAGGGAGGGACTGGGACCAGCCCACCTTGGGGACAAGCAGAACATGCAAGACAGGAAAATAATGTTTTTCCAAAGAACATTTCCCAAGCAATTTATTAATTGTGGGGTTAATTCACATTTTGAGTGGTTTTCCCCAGCCCACAGGGAAAGCCCTCAGGACTTTGTCAAGGCAAGCCCTGGTGCTGAAGGAGCTTTATGCATTGAACCCCTTCCCGCAAGGCTGAGCTCTCCTGGCAGCAGCTGAGGGGGAGGAAGAGAAGGCAGCAGAGCTCAGGCTGTCACCCACACACCGAAACTGCAGTGTTTCCCCAAAAAAAAAAAAAAAAAAAGGATCACTAGGCAATGGAGTGAGCCCTCAGGCAAACTCTGTAAGCAGGCAGAGCAGCCAAACAGAGCTCATATGGCTCAAAGCAGCAACAGAGAGGGATTCACCACTCCAGAGGGGTCGGTGTCACTCCAACAGCTCAGCTCAGGCTCACCAAGGGTCACCCCCTTCCTCTGTGTCCCCAGGGTGCCATTTTTCACCCCAGCAACATCATCCCCTCACAGCAGGTGTGGAGTCACCACCCACTGTGCCCAAAGGCTTTGTCCCCACGGCAGCAGTGCCACCTGAGAGGGTACAGTCCCAGCACAGGCAGGTTCACAAAACATCTGCTGGCATCAGAGTTTGGGCACTTCAGAGCAAAGGGAAGCAGCATCATGAAGTGTAAATGACAGGCCATGTAGAGACTGCCACTACAACCCCCAATTTAATATGATAAATACTCAATAAATACTCAATACAGTCTGAAGTATCCCTAGCAGATGAGCCCAAATTGCAAGGGAGTTGCCCACCATTAAAAAAAATTCAGATATTTTTCTGTCACAGGCTGACATTCACCCACAGAGGAGCAGCCTAAAAGTGATTCCCCTTCTCCCACATCTCATCCACAGATGCTCTGGGAAAGGAATAAAGCCAGCCTGATAACTTGAGTGAATGTGACAGACTGTATCCCAAGGATGCATTTCTTCCCAGCCCTCACTGAAGAATCCTTTTCCCCACTGAGTGGGGAGTCCACAGGCCGGTGAAAATCAGCTGACAATCCCTGGAGACAGAAAACAATGGATATGCTTTGCCCAGCATCACCATGGCCTTTCTTCCCATGATGAGCCTTGCATTCAGCCTCTTCTGTCCCATGGAATTCACAATTCCCCTGTCACACCAGGAGCTGGGAATCATCTCCTTGGCTGTCACACGTGGGAGAACAGGCAGAACAACTCCAGCCCTTTCCCTGAGATGGAGTATATCCTCCATTTGGCAGAGGAGTCAGCCAAAGTTCAGCCTGTGCCACACACACATGGAGCCTTCCAGTGACCTCAAAACCCTGGTGGCATCAGAAAAAATATTTCCCATTGTCCCACAGACAGCATGGGACAAACCACACCTACCTTCTCCTTGTTGAGAGCTTCCTGAGCTTCTAACTTGTATACTAAAAAATCTAGAAATGGGAGAAAAGGAGACAGTTTAATGAGCTGGAATTCCACAAGGATCTGGTTTGGATTTTGCAGAGGAGGGAGAGGGAAGAAGGAACTCAGCCCCTTGCTGAGCAAAAGCCTGCCAGTCAATAAACTGGAATGCAGATGCTGCTTGGAGGCCATTCCATGCCCCTTCCATTTTTCATAAGAGTTGTTTACCCAAGAAATGCCCTTCCTTTTCCATTCCATAGGCAAGTGTATTGATGGTCTCCTACCTCACAAACAAAAAGCTGCAGCTTGATGTCAAGGAAGCTGAATAACTTTTTGAGGTATTCTGAAATGAGAGATGACTCAGGAAAAGGGGAACCAAAGTTGCTGTGAGACCCGAACTCATGTGCTGATCTCATCTGTGCCAGCTTCTTAAAACAGGAACACCCCACAACATGGTAACATTTATAAGAATGCTTCATTTCCTCAACAAATTAATTAAAGAGGCAGCACAGAAATGCAAGTTCTGCCTCAGCCAGGCAGCCACAGAACTGCAGCCAAACCTGTATGCTGGATACAGCACCCAGAAGCACAAAGCATGCTGGAGTGAGGAGCAGGGATGCCACCCCACACACCACTTTTAAAGATAAAATCCAATTTATTAAGTTGCCAACAACAATCCGGTGCAGAGGGGCCTGACACCCAAGCACAGCACCCTGCTGAAAGGCACATGAATTGATCATGAGTTGGGCTTTCTGCTTCCTGCTGTATTCCATGGTCTTAAAATGCCCTGCATGTTTGTGTCTTGTCCTGAGCACCAGCTCTACAGGACCTGGCAGCCTGCATTGTCCAGTGATGCTGCTACCACTGAGCACCTGTAGAGCTCAGCATCTTCAGATCACTTTTGGGAGAAAGCTGACATCTTTCCAAGGAAAAAACATGGTCCATGTGCCAGGTTTAGTCACCACTTGAAGTGTTCAAACACCACGACAGGAGGGCTGTTACTCACAGATTGGCCTGAGGACAAGTGTAGGAGTAGGAGAGAACAGAACCCACCTGTCAGCACCCTCTGCCCACAGGCACGTCACTTCACTGTTCCAAATTTCCACCCAGGGACAGCCACTGAGGCAGGAGAGGGTTTGGGTACAGCTGGGGCTTTGCCTGGGACTCACCTTCCTTTGTCTTCTTGTGCTCCCCTCGCTCCTTCTGCAGGGATCGCTCCAGCCGGGACCGGTGCTCGTACACCACTGTGGGAACAGAGAGAGGCAGAGAATGACACAAACCTCAAATTTAGCCCCACATATCTTTCCTACCTGGAAATTACTCTCCTACCTGGAGCAGGGAGGGGACATTTGGGCTGCAGACCATGGATATTCCTGATATAATACACTCCAGTCTCACCCACAAATTGGGAGTATTTGCACTCAGGTTTTGCTTTCAAGCTCAAGCTATGATGTGCAAGAGATGCTTTAGTGATCAGTGGCTAAATTGTGTTTTTGTGGGCCAAGTGCCTGCCAGGCTCAAGCAGCCAGAGTCAGCTGTTCTGGAAGAGCATCAGCACCATGCAGGAGAGATTTTTTTCCCCTTCCACAACCCAGGCCACACACAACTGAGAACAGAGAGGGCTGAGCTGTTCTCAGTTGTTCCAGACAGTGCAGCTGGTCTGGACTGGACAAAGTAAACCTAGACGTAATACAAATCTAATCTAGCCATAACACAAATCTAATTTAGCTAGCCTAATTCATGTCTGAACCACTGCACACCACTGGCCAGGATGCTGGGCAGGGAGAGAAGTATCAGCCAATGGCTGTCTAACCTGGGAAATTTGAATTGAGTATTTAAGTGAGTTCTGAATAATAAATGGGGCTTTTTTGTCTCATGAACACCGAGGGCACGAGTCGTAGATCTTTGTCTCCCCACCTACGACCATCATGTTACACTGAGCAGCCACATGACAAATGGAAGTGCCAGAGAAGACTCCTGATGGATGGTGACAAATCCACTCTGATGTGTGAATGCCACCACACTCAGCTCCAACAGGCTTCTCATGCCCTCAGACAGGCCAGGATAGCACTGGGCAGCACTCAGAGGGAGAGGGGATGAAAGAAACCTCCCAGATCCAAGATCCCTGCAGAGACAAGACTATTGGGGGTCAGTTATGCCATAACTCATAGTCTCCAGAAAAATTAAGCCAGTGGGGTGCATGAAACCAGTGCTAATCCATTCCCTGCTGAAATCTTGGCAAGCCAAGAGCCCCAAGTGACTCATTCTCTCACTCCAAGTGGATTTGTGGACCCTGACAGCTCCACTCAGGTCATGCTGGAGTAGCAAATTCCTCTGTCCTTTCTGACTTTCTTCAAGGGGCAGCAAGGGGAAGAGCCATAGCTGAGCCAGACTGAATCCTTCCTTATCTTTGTGAACACAGACATCTCAGTGATGAAGATGCTTCTCCTGGACTGGGCCACTCCACTCAGACTTCCTTCTGAACCACATTGTCCAAACCATTCCAGCAGTGGTTTCAACCTGGAAGGATGTTTCCTCCTCCTAAGCAGCAAGCCCATCTCTGCAGCTGTCCAAGTGTCTCCTCCGTGATAGCTTTATTTTTAGGAGCACTTTTCTCAACAGACCGCTCAGATGAAACCCTGAGGGCCTCCCCAGCTGAGCACACAAAGGGCCATGGGTGCTTCTTTCCTCCATGCTAGAAAAGCCTTGTCCAAGGGAACTGTCAGCTTGAGAACATCAGCCGCTTCACACAGGATTTGGGAACCCTGGGCACTCACTTTCTGACTCTCTCACGTCTGACTTCCTTGCAGTCTGATCTAGCAGAGCTCCTGAGGGCAAGGCTTTGATGTGATGGGAACTTCCCACCACAATGGGCTGTGTTAACACCCACAGCCACAGATCCTAAGGATGCTAAGGATCTTCCCAGAGCAGGGAAGGCTTCAGGGACAGCTCCAGTTCACAGGCTGTTGATTCAGAATTTTACAGCACAAAATCTGGCTCTCCCTGACCCTGTTTTTGTAAGTCAGATAAACTGAAGTAACCTCCAGTGACTAGAAAATAAAGTTTTAATCTCTCCTGCCTTTCCTACAGGTCCCCAGAGCCCAGAGAAAGTGGGTTTAGCTTCACACAGAGGAGGGAGTCAGCACTGCACACAGCAGCATCTCAGCACCCCAGGGTGTTCAGGACCAGCAGTTGGACTTTGATAATCCCAGTGCGTCCCTTTCAACTCAGGACAAAATTCCAAAATTCTATGATTCTTTACTCATCTTTGTGGTGAGAGACAGCAACAACTCATCTGACCCAACTGGCACTGCACAGTTCGCGAGGCCAGGGAGCCAGGAAGTCTTGAACAATTTGCTTCTACAGGAGAGAATGGAGGGTGGTCAGTGTCTAAATCCAGCTGGAATCCAGCCAGGACTCGGCTCTAAGGCACCCTCACCTGATGCCAAAGGAGCTGCTGAAACAATGAAACCCCTTGCTGAAAAAGCAGGACCAAGTGCAGAAGAGGACACAGGAATTAAAGTCATGCTACAAGTGCAGGGACAGAGCCCAGGTTTGTCCCCAGAGCACTGCAGGGAGCAGCCACAGCACCAGAGCCACGGCCAAATGTGCCAAGCACTGCTGCACTGCCAGACTCCCATGAGCATCACTCCCATCTTCCCCATGCCAGGCTCCTCCCAGCAGCCAAATCCAAAAAGAAGCCTTGCCTTTGTTAAAACTGTTGGACAAGTGAGTGTCTTCTCAAAATAAAAAAGGGTAGCCATGGCAACAACTGTATTTAGGGATGGGAGGACTGACAGGCGGTTAGAAATCCAAGCAACAGGCTGTAGTTCTGCCAGTCACACATATTTGGGTGGAAAAAATATGAGCTTGGCTCAGTGGTTGGCCTGTTGTTCCTAGAACTGGGGCTCCCTGAGGCTACCACTGTCATTCTCTGGAGAAGCAGCCCCTCTCTCCAAGAGGAGCAAGAGATACACCAGGAAGGAATGTGGGTTCTGTAAGTTCTGCCCCGCTAATCTCTGCACATCCCAAACTCAGGATGCAGGTGGGAATCATGGCTGGGGCTGAGCTGTACGTGTTTGATTACCTTGTAGAGCAAGGAAAAATGGAACCAAATCATGAGATAACAGCACTGAACCTGAACACACATCCGATCCATTCCCAAGGCTGGTTGGGTTTTGTTTCCTGGAGAGGGACATACACAGCCCCCACACTCTGAAAACAGAGCACACAGCCCTGGGCACCTGGCAGGAAGCTCCATTTGCATCACAGAACCATCAGGAGAAGATGTAACCCTAAAAGACACAAATGTCGAGTCACAGGTCTGCAGAATGCCCCAGAAATCCAGGCCATAGGAAGAATATCCCTGGATGTGTCCAGGAAGGTCATGACAGATACCCTGTATTTGATTTTAGCTGGGGAAGTTTTCCCATTATAAACACTGTGATCTAAACGGACTTTTTTAGGGGGTGGGGGCAAATGGGTTAAATAATGTCTTGACCTTGAGAAGAACAATTTTTGGCCACCTCTGTTAATTCTGTGGGTACTCCAGAGGCAGCCCGTCCTCCAGCATTAAACACCCCAAGTGCTGCGTACCCCGAGGGGATCCCCACCAAACCTCTCCATGGGGAGCTCAGCAAATCCCTCCAGAGACTCCAAATCCTGTGACAGCTGATAGAAACGTCGCCTTGGCCCAGCAAGGCTGGAATGATAGGCTGGACAAAGGAGATAAGAGTTCAGCGGTGGAGTAACTGCGTGTCCTCAGCCTTCCCTGCTGACAGCTCCCCGTGAGCTAAAATCCTATTTTCCCACAGTGAGGCATTTATGTAAAGAGGACAAACGAGGGGAGAGAGGGGGAGGAGGAATCCACACACTGTGTTTGCCTTCCGGTCTGCGGCAGCTCTTGCCAGAGGAACCAAGTGCTGGTCAGCATGATCAGAAAAGCCAATTCTTCTTCCTCCTCCTCCTCCTCCTCCTCTTCCTCTTCCCCTCTTTTTAGGGAGATAAATTCTGGAGCATCCGTCAGCCCTAAAATGCTGGCACGACTTTTTTAGTCTCGGATCAACCTCTCGAGACAAGAAGTGGGTTTATCACCTTGCAAAGGCAGTGGGCAGCAGCAGACTGTGACAACAAACTTTAGTCAAAGATTCCTTCCCTCTCTGCTCACTTCCACACGGGGCAGAGAGAGCAAAGCCGCATCTCAGAGCCATGCGTTTTCATGGCCTCACATTTCGCGTGACAGGGGTTTAGATCTGCAGCCAAAGGGAAAAGAAATGTAATAGACGTGACGCAGCTGAGCTCGCCGACCCCCCTGTGCTGCGAGCAGCAAATTCAGACTCATGGCTGCTCTAATTGCTGACATCCAAATAGGGGAAAAAGGAAACGGGAACAGCATCTTTAAAGCCAAGAGATGAACGTCTCCAGGGCACCCTGCTCATGGCTGGGAGGGACAGAAGTTGGGGCAAGGTGTGCACACACAGACACCTCCAGAGCGGGTCACTCACCTTGGAGCTGGGCTGACAGTGCTTCCTGCTGCTGTTTGTATTTCTGCGCCAGCGCTTCGGCGTTCCACACCTTCTGCTGCAAGTGGTTGTAGAGGAAAACTCCGGAGGTCAGGCAGGCCACGGTGGCCAGGCAGAAGGCGGTCTGCAGCAGCCCCTTCTGCCTCCTCGAGCACATCCCGGTGCCCATGGCGGGGCCGGAGCGCGGCGATGCAGTGCTGCCTCGCCGGCGATGCTAGAGCATCTGATTCTTTCCGCCCAACAGCCCCTTTTCTCCGCAAACTCGCAGATCCCTCCGGAAGGTACGATTGCAGGCTCGCCTTCGCTCCCTCCCGGCCCTGGAGAGGCTCCTGCCGGGCTCTACTCCTCGCTGTCCATCGGGATATCGGTGTCCG